AGTCGGCTTATACTCGAGTATATACGGTAAGTAAAAAGGGGTTTTAACCCTTTCACCATAGGACAGTGGGGGGCTATAAAGTTGGAGACATGGAATACCTGTATTCCTAACTCCATAGTGTTCATTTAATTTAGGTTGGAAAGCGTTCAAATTTGACCATTGTTGTTTGCTGTAAAGACAGCACTGGAATGATTTTTCTATAGTGAGGCTATCTCCTTTAAGTGAATACTAAATTATTCCAAGAAATATTGCAAGAACGGTAAATAGTTTATTCTGTTCAAATTTATATGAACTCTCACAATAACAGTTTAAAGAGAAAAAGAGAAAAAAATGACAGTTCAGAATCTTACAGGAATTGCTTACAATTTAAGGCAATACTTTCTTTTCAAAGTAAAAATGCAGGCACTCATGTTTGCATTTTCAAAAGAAGTCTGCTGCTTTTAGACTGTAGGAATATTTAAGATTCCGAGATATAAAAAGATTCTGAATGTCTTGTTTCTCTCTGGTGATTTTCAAAGCATTCAGAGAACCATTTGGCTGGAAGATTGTTGAGGTTTAATAACAAACCTGTATTCTTTCTATGAAGTGGGCTCCAGTGAGATAATATAGAAAAAGATTAGTTTACTTTAGAAATATATGTATCGCCTGTGCTTTAAGTTAATGTAATAGTTTCTTTAAAGGCAAACCTCTGTGTCCAACTGCATATATTTTTTCTTTGGCTTTTGTTGTATGTATTTGTATTGATGTGTACTATGGTCATTGCTGCCACCTAGGAGTAGTAGGAGTCTGAGCACAGAACTTATTTTTTTGTATTTGTATTCACTTTTGTATCACACAGCTATGTTACAATGCTGCCGCCCACCCCATGTGTTCCCTATAGGGTTACAAAGTATGTAGGGGTTTAGAAAAAATACCCCTCTCTGTCTCTTTTTTTTCCTAAAGCTGTAGGAAACAAGATGAATGGTTAGTGTAGGACAGTGATGGGGAACCTATGGCACGCGTGCTACAGGTGGCACGCTGGGCATTCTTTGTGGGCATGCGGCCATAGGTCGCCAGGGGAGGGGGCCGCTGGCTGTGCAGAGTAGGCACCTGCCTGCCCAAAACATCAGGTGCCTACTCTGCTTTCGTGTCGGGACGAACAGGAAGCAGGGGGAGGGATCTAGGAAGCAGCTCTCCTGTCCTCCTGCGAGCAATCTGTGTGGAGCGGTGCCACGCGTTACCATGGCAACACTCCACACAGCATCGCGCGGGAAGACAGGAGAACTACTTCCCTGTCACAAACTTACCACCACCGGACCACCAGGGATGGCTGTGTACCCCCTTCTTCACCAAAGGTAAGAAGAAGGGAGGGGGGGATACAGATTTAATATACCTTTTTTTTCTTTCTTTATTTTCTTTATTTTTTTTTCTTTAATGTATCTTTACCACCCCTACCCCCATCACACACAGCACCCCTACCCCCCACACACAGCACCCCTACCCCCCTCCACACACAGCACCCCTAGTCCCCCACACACACAGCACCCCTACCCCCCACACAGCATCCCTACCCAGCACCACACACAGCACCCCTACCCCCACACAGCACCCCAACCCCCTCCACACACACAGCACCCCTTGTCCCCACACACAGCACCCCTACCCTCCATACACAGCACCCTACTCCCCACATACACAGCACCCCTACACCCCACCACACCACACACTGCACTCCTACCCCCATACGCACCCTACCCCACACATATAACCCCTACCCCCACCACCACACACGGCACCTTACCCCCACCACACACGGCACCCCAACCCCCACACACACACACCCCTCCCCCACACACACAGCACCCCTACCCCCCCACACACAGCATCCCTACCCCCACACAGCACAGCACCCCTGCACCCCCACACAAAGCACAACACCTCTACCCCCACCCCCCCAAAGCAATCAATGCTGTATGTGTGTGTGTATCCAGCAGTCTGTATGTATTCAGCAGTCTGTGTGTGTGTGTGTGTGTGTATTCAGCGGACTCTGTGTATGTATTTAGCACTCTGTGTGTGTGTATTTAGCAGTCTGTCTGTGTGTCGGTGTGTGTGTGTATTGCATTTGTTGAAGATACTAATAAATAAAAGGTTAATTTTATCTATTTATATCATTATTTAAAATTTGTATCATTGGACTCTCTGTTGTGTTCTTCTTTTGAAACAGAAGATGTTAATTAGTTCGGACAACTGTACGAGTTTGTTTCTAAACTTAACCCTCAGTATTCAGGTTTAATTGCTGTGGTGGCACTTTGAGAAAAAAAAAATTGGCATGTATTGCGGTTTGGGCACTCTGGCTCAAAAAGGTTCGCCATCACTGGTGTAGGACCTACCTAAGAGGTTTGCCTTGATGTGGCAGATGGGCTTACTTCTTATGGTCATTGGAGTGATACTGAACTTCCAGTTATTTGAATATGCATAGGGATTTGGGATAGTGCGCAGGTAACTTGTGCACAAATCCCATTTATCTGTGCTGAACAAATCAAATGCTCATTAATCGCTGGATGAACAAATGGATTAGTTTGGCAAATCATGAATACATCTATTCATTCATCCAGCAATTAACAAGCATTTGATTTGTTAAGTGCAGCTAAACCGGATTTGTACACAAGTCTAATAATTATCTATTACAAAAGAATGGATATATTAAAATTTGCTATAAATATTTATTTTAAACACTTGTCGTTAGCTGCTTAACTCACTTCTGCAGCTAATGAAAAGCCGTTCTCTTTTTGCCCAGCACTTACTTCCTTATTAGAATTCGGCCTTGTCCAACTGAATAATTCTCATTGAGCATATCTCTCCAGACCAAATATTTTCATAGAGTTGGTTTTGTTGAATGTTAGGGATTTGTATAAAAAAAAGTACAAGCAATGGCGTAAGTACAACAGTCGCCAGGGTTGCAGCGGCGACCAGGCCCGTTACTCCAGGGAGCTGGCCACCGCTGCAACACATGTGACCTTGGGCCGCCGGCATACTTTTAGGGCCGGTGCACTACAGTAACGGCCGTGGCGTGCGTTCGCAGGCTGAACGGCTGGAGGGGAAGCGCTGTGCTGCTCCCCTCCTGCTGTTGTGTGTAGCGTGCCGTGCGATCTAACAGGAAGTGCTCATTGAGAGAGCACTTCCTGTCAGATGAGTAAAGCGACTACAGTGAGCATATATGGGTGGGGGGGTGGAGAGACACATGGTGTGGCTGCAGGGAGGGCGGGAGAGAGACACATGGAGGGGCTGCAGGGGAGAGACACATAGATAGGCTAGAGTGGACGGGGAGAGAGACACTTGGAGGGGCTTGGGGGGGAGAGACACATGGAGGGGAGGAGGTAGAGACAAATAAAGGAGCTTGGGGGGAATGAGACACATGGAGTGGCTGGGGGATATGAGACCCTTGGGGGCAATGAAACTCATGAAGGGCTGGGTGGGAGGAAATACGACACTTGGAGGGGGAAATGAGACACTTGGTGGGGGATGAGACACATGGAAGGGCTGGGAAGAGGGAATGAGACACATATTGGAAATAAGACACATGGAGGTGCTGTGGGGATGAGGCATATGGAGGTGCTTGGGGGGATGAGACACATCAAGGGGCGAAGGGGGTCCCCATGACAATTTCCGCACCAGGGTCCCGTGGTTTCTAGTTACATCTCTGAGTACAAGTTCTGTTTTTAAATATTAAGCACTATTTTAAAGTATAAATATTCATTAAATGTCCATTAAAATGTTAACTATAATAACTATATAAATTGTTATGGACTATTGAAGTTATATTCCATACAGTGGTTGCCATCCTGTCCTATTACATCAGATGTATATATTAATGCCCATTGATCTCAGCCAGAATGGCAGAAGGTGTACCCAATTTCACCCATATTGGAGGCATACAAATTCCTGGCAGAGTGACTTGTATTTATTTTACCTCTGACCTCTACATCTAAGAAGGGCATAGGTAAAAAATAAAACTGATTTATGTGTTTATGTTTATCAGGGATTTAGTGGGTTAAAATGCCCAAAAGCTCGGCTGCAGGGGCTTTGCCACTGACAGAGGTATTCATTGTATTGTTCCAAACTGTATTCATCACAATTTGGTCCGATCAGGTGATCATTCGAATTCCTGAATTTTGAGCCAAAATATGGCTTAATACTGAACCAAACATGTTTGTTTTGATTTGTCATTCTGAATTCTGCCTGTGGCACAGAAAAGTCTAGGTGTCAGCCACTAAATGTTGATTTATTTGCAGATCAAGTAAGGAGTGATCGTACTGGGAAAACTGGAGGAGGAGTAAAATATATCTATATAGATTTAAAAGTCAAGGCTCGCTATGTCTAAAATGAAATATACAAACAATAGGCTATAGTTTCATAGAAAAACATAGAAAACCATAGAATGTGATGGCAGATAAGAACCATTCGGCCAACAAAAATATATAGATTATGTGGACTGCTCCTGCTACTTTTTTCCCTCTGTTAGTCTATATATATATATATATATATATATATATATATATATATATATATATATAAAATTTGCACTCCACTTACAGGTGTTGATGCTCAGTGATTGTCAGCAAATAAAAATCCTGATCCTGATGAAAGTTTGCAAGACAAACTGAAACGCTGATCATTTATTTTGGAAATTAAAAGTTAAGTTTTACTTTACATTGTGGAAGTCTTTGGAGTGCTATCTTTATGCTGTTCGTATATATATGTGTATATATATATATATATATATATATATGTATTTGTATTTTTTTATTTATTTATTTTTAAACTCACTTCTGCAGGAAAGCTTGTCAATTAAACTACTAATAGGTTTCCCTCCCTGCACCTTGCTTCTTCTTTTGCAAATGTCATCCAAAAAATAAAAAAAACAACAAACTCTCATTGAAAACTATTCTAATAACCAACTTTTCTACTGTACCATTACCTTTTGTGTCACTTTACCCTTTATCCTAGAACAGTGGTTCCCAAAACCAGTCCTCATGGCCCACCAACAGTACAGGTTTTGCCAGTATCTCCATAAAAAAGGGAAATACATAAATCCTGGACTGTTGGTGGGCCATGAGGACTGGTTTGGGAACCACTGCTCTAGAAAGTAAACTCATATGAGCAGGGCCCTTAACCCACTTTGTTTCCGTGCGGAAACTTGTCAGTTAGTCTATCCATTGTACAGCATTGCGGAATTTGTTGGCGCTTTATAAATATTAAAATTATACACTGTTTATAGCAGTACAAAATATATTGACCAATTTTTTACGCCCTTTTGGGAGGGGTGTGGGGGGGGGCGGTTGTACCAAATTTTGCAGAGCTGAACCAACATATGGCTGAAATTCGGCTGTTCTGAAAAAAATATATATATATATTTAGAAAAAATGGTACAGCTGAAAGAAATGTTCTTGTCATGCACAAGTCTAATTGCACCCAGACCACTTGAATGAGATGAAGTGGTCTGGGTGCCTATAGTGTCCCTTTATGTTTCAATTGAATTTAACAGGAACTAACTTCTCTTAATAATTTTAATTTATTTCCAATATGCCTTGTTTTCAGATTTCTGTTGCATAAAGGTAGAAAGTATTTCACTTCTGGCCTTTCCGGTATCTCTCTCTCTCTCTCTCTCTCTCTGTATATATAGCAGACTTGGGCATTTTGTATTCTGTCAAATGTATTGCCAAAAATCATTTTTTCCGAATAACGAAGGGGGATCCAAATGAATGAACAAACAAATTGGTGCCTAATGAAATTCTTCCATGTGCTATTTGTTTGTTTGTTCATTTACAATTCGTATTTGGCCTATTGTATTACACTGTCGGTAATTCAAAAGGCGAAACATTTCATCCAAATGTACGAATGGTTAATTCTTTTGTTGAGCCATTCGTTCTTTCTGCTCACTCCCATCATATCTGATGGGAGTGAGCAGAACTAATGAATGAGCACCGAATGAATGAGCCATTTGTGCATTCAGGTGAAGCGTTCTGCAGGGTGTGGAAAGGCTTTATAAATTTTAATTTATTATTGCCCTCTCACAATTATTAGGGTGAGGGAGGTAGGTAGGATATATATTTATTGGGGGTGCCTAGGGGTTTGGGGACTCCTTGTCACTGGAGGGGGGCTACTAAGGGCTTGGGGGACCCCTAGTTATTGGGTGCAGGTTATTTTTACTATTAACCCCCACCCACCACTAATGGATGAAGTCTGGTGGGAGAACAATAGGTTCCTCCCCTTTAGTACTTAGAGCCACCACCTGCCAGCAATGAGTGGGGGCTTTGGGGGAACAACTGGTTCCCCCCTTTATTACTTAGGGCTTCTATCCACCAGCAATGGGTGGGGGCTGGGGTGGAACAATAGGACCCCCCTTTATTACTTAGGACCCCCACCCAACGCTAATGGGTAGCGCTGGGGAGAAACAATAGGTTCCCCTTCATTATTACTTACGGTCCCCACCTGCCAGCAATGGATGGGGGCTGGGGGGAATAATATGTAGCTCCTCCTTTATTACTTTATTACTTACTTATGACTCCCATACTGTGCATTGACACACCAGAATAATGAATATATGATTTTTAATATTGAGAGGAAAATTTGTCTTATACAAACACATATTGTTTGCAATTTGTCCCGTTTGGGCTCCCAAACAGCAGAACCAGTGCTACCACTATAGTGCCAAGTGTAGATTTTATAATTAAATGTATCAGTCTCACCGTGTCCTACTCATGGTTTGCTTAATAAATCTATTTCATGTATCTACAGTCAACAGGATGTTGAAAGATATGGTGGCAGTGACCTAGTCAAAAAGATCTAGTATGCTATGTAGTGGCAGAGTATTAAACAAGGTTGGTCATTTATACACACACGATTTTCCTTAGACATTAATAATAATGCTAGAAAAGTTCCTAGAATATATTTATTTTTTATGTAAAAAACAGATACAATTTGTATCTTGTAATACCTTTTTATTGGACTAATAGAATTTTTTAATGACAAGCTTTCGGGAGAACCTCCCTTTCTCAAGTCTGAAGCATTTCTGAGCAACACGACACCATTTTTGCAGAGGGTCATAAATATCTTTCTGAAGAGCAGAGTGAGGGGGGAGAGGGAGAAGAAAAACAAACTCCCCCCTCACTCTGCTCTTCAGAAAGATATTGATGACCCTCTGCAAGAATGGTGTCTATTTTCTAACAAACCTGTGTCTTATCTGAACTCATGTCACTTTAACCCCTGTATCACAACTCAACTTTGAATTCTATGTGTCGTGTTGCTCAGAAATGCTTCAGACTTGAGAAAGGGAGGTTCTCCCGAAAGCTTGTCATTAAAAAATTCTATTAGTTTAATAAAAAGGTATTACAAGATACAAACGTTATCTGTTTTTTACATCTACATCACTGGACTAATACGGCTACAATCTCTACTTTATTTTTTATCATATATAAGAAAATCTATATACAATGACATGACAAAGCCAAACAGGTATAAAGTAACTGAGGGCCATTTATAGACATAGCCTATAGGAACCAGAATTATCTGGGGTAGGTACTCACTGTTTATAGCTTAAGCCACTAATCCCAGTGGGATATATACCCCAGGCTAGGAACCCTTGTTCTAAGTTGTATTTGTTGTTATAGGCATCTTGGGGAGGCTCAGCTTTATTGTCTCGAAAGTATCGTAAGCTTTTGCATGGCATCCACAGGTAAGTGTAATGTGTACCCCTGAGAATCATAGTTGTTAACAATTCCATTTTGCTTAAATCGTGATGTGTGTCATAACAGATCTCTATGTTTTTTCTTTTTTTACTAGGGCTAATTCAGTGGCTTGGAATCCACATAAAATGTTGATGGCTGGCATCCAGTGCTGTGCCTTGTTGGTAAAAGACAAAAACGTGAGTATAAAAGCATTCCCTATCTCTACAAAGGATTACAAAATGTGCTATACCGGTTTAAACTGATATCAAAATATAACATGGCTTTTGTTCAATAAAATGGGAATTGTGGAGTATTGACAAGAAAAAAAAAAAAGAGCTAAAATTAAAATGTATCTAATTTTGATATTCCCCACTAAAGTTTGCAAAATATTATGTATGCCAGGGGTGCCCAAAAAGTAGATCCCCACATGTTTTAAAACTACAACTTCCATGACGCTTTGTCATTTTAAAAGCATTCTAAATGCATACAAGGCATCATTGGAGTTGTAGTTCTACAACATCTGGGGATCTACTTTTTGGGCACCACAGATTCATGATATCTTCAACTTACTGTATAATAAAGACACATTGTGCTTTTATATCAATGCACATTGTATTTATAAATATTTTATTATATATATATATATATATATATATATAATTGTGAAGCATGTATTAAGTGTAATACCATTTAAGGGTTCTGACTACATATTAATAAACCATGAGATAGATGAGATTGGGGATCCTAGATTGCTCAGTGTGAAGACAAATTGCACAACACGATTTTAATTGCACATTGGGACATCACCCACCATGCAGTATGGGATTTGAAATAACAGGTAGACTAGTAACAGGTAGACAGGTAAGCACAATAGAAGTTTATTTGGTTTTTAGTTAACTGTAACATTATTTTATGTTTATTTATATTTGTATTAGTTTATGAAGATTCTATTAAAGGGACACTATAGGCACCCAGACCTCTTCATCTCATTGAAGTGGTCTGGGTGCAATGCCTCTGTCATTTTAGCCCTGCACTTGTTTACATTGCAGGGTTACGCTTGCCTCTAGTGGCTGTTTACCAGACAGCCATTAGAGGCGCTTACTGGCGCTTACTGGCCTTTCATGGAGTTTGACTCCAGCAATTGACGTTGGATGTCCTCTTGCTTTAGGTTCTGCAGTCGGCTGACGTCAGAGCATTGAGGATATACTTAGAGAGGGTTTTAAACACTTTATTTGCTGGTGGGAGGGAGGTAGTGGGACACTAGATTGTTAATAATACAGTTTTTATTCCTAACACTATAGTGTTCCTTTAATAATGTATCATTATTTTTGTTATTTAAGCATTTATATGCCAAAGCACACGTTCTGTTGCCCTCTAATTTGGTGTCTTTTGAAATCCATGATTGCTTCTTAACATTCTTTCAGCTTTGACACTGTTCACAATTTTCAACAACTAGGCAGCTAAAAATAAAACCACCTCCCTTTGTTTAAAAATGAAAGGTTTCAAACATGCAATTATTTCTGATCTCATCAACCATCATGATATTGTTGTGCTCCTTTAATCGTTTAGTACTAGATGGCAATTACATGCGTTCCTGCCATGTATTTGTAAATAATCAGACAATACTCTTTGTCTGGCTCCTTGCTTTGCTGCACTGCAGAGCTCTCTAATTTTCATCTGCCATGTAAACTATTGACTTCTTCAGTCAGTGTTTCTTTCAAAAAGTCATTTGGTACTCTCTATGTTTACTTATCAGCATGATTTGTTATAATGAGAGGAAATGCATCGCACTCATTCACATTGCATCTTATCATTAGTTAATACACAGCTCTGGGCATATCAGTGATTTTTAAGGAACCAATTTAGTTAAGAAGGACTCCGTTCATTTTATGGGCTGCTCACAGTTGACATAATAAATTAACATAATATGTGGTGTATGGTTATTCTTGATATATCAGTAGCAAATTATTTTCCAGAGCTTTCTGGATGCAGTAATGACAAATGAAGGTCTTTACTGCTATGTGTTCCGAGATGTTAAGATTTTCTTACTCCTATAAATACATCCAACTGGAAAATCATTATTTATAATAAATAATAATGCTTGGACAAGCTAAGCTGACTACATTAATTTTTAACCTGATGTTTAATCTCTTTACTACAGGACATGTGTATGTAGAACTCCCATAGTATGCATTTATATTGCAGAATAGTGAATATATGATTTTTAACATTGTCCTTTTTTGTCTCCCATAAAGCAGAGCCAGAGCTACTATTATAGTGCTGGCTCTCTGCAGCTGCATGGGCCGGTAGTGAGATCTCCCTGCCCCATACTGCACTGCTCTTAGTGCAGGTCTGCTCCGTCAGCTGGGAGAAGAGCTCTGCTGATGCTTTCTCCTGGTC